TACCCCGATCACCCTCCTCGTCTTCTTCCTTACCACCACCACCTTCGATTCTCTTCGTGACACCCTTCTCACGCCTTTTTCGACTTTTCATCTTCTTCGTCTCCCAACTAGCTTGGTGATTGCTTCTTTTTCATTCTCAGCGCCTTGTTTATTCGCTTCGATACCGAGAACGACTACTTCGACGACATTGACGACTTGGATCTTCGACGACACAGTCTCACCCTTGAGATTGTCTGCGCGCAGTGTTCCTTGCTTACACGTGTATTCGTCCACGGAAGAACTCACTTTCTCACGGCTCTCACGCCGTTTATGCTTCAGAAGGAACCGGTTCCTAATGAGCTTTTGCGAATCGACCTAGATGGCCGGCTAGGCTTCTCCTAGTATCAGTCTATTTTCTTCAAACCCGACTCGGGGTCCTTGTTCGATTCTCGAAACCATTCAGTTTTTTGCGACTGGAATCGCAACATATTGCAGCAATGTCGAGTCCAAATCGGAACGCGAACCTCCCGGATGGGGCTTTCATCACGACTTTCAATGGCAAGAGGTGTACGGCGAGGCCGAGGAATGGGAATAAGTCAAAGTCGAACAACCAGCAACGTGCCTCGACGAGTACGTCTCACTCGACATCGACAACACACTCGACGACGCGATCGACACCCCCTCCGCAAGTGAGCTCATCACCGCCTCCGCCTCCAGCAGTTGCAACGCTCGCTCCTGCTCCTCCGCCGCCGCCTCCTCCACCACCGCAAACAACACCACCGCCGCCGCCACCACCACCAGCTGTTTTGACCACTAGTTCAGCGAGTACGACGAGCTCCTCATTACCTCCTCCTCCCCCTCCCCCTCCCCCTCCTCCAGTAGTCAACACCCCATCTTCAAATCCACTGCCTCTACAGCAGACACAAGCGCCGCCTGCTCCAGTCGTATCGAGTCCTCCTCCACCTCCGCCGCCGCCGCCGGTTCCAGCAGTATCAACGTCTTCTTCTTCTCAGCCTCCAATCGTTGACGCTGAACCGCCGGCGACGATTCCTACTTTCCAAAACATTCCCGCTATTCCTGCGCAGAGTTCTCCTCCTACTCCCGCCCAGATCTTCCCCCCCGCCTCATCTTTTTCTTCTTCCTCTTCAATACCTGCCCCAGTCGTGTTGCCACCTGTTCCAGTAACCAGCCAGACTGATGCCAACGCAGTCCCAACACCAACTCCTTCTCAAGCGCCCCCCGCTTTTTTCAGCAATATCAGCCCATCACCCTCACCCACGAGCAGCGCAGGAGCAGGCGCTGGGGCTATTGCGCCTTCGCCGCCCCTGAACCCGGGTACTGCCGCAGGCGAGGCAGGAACAGGGAACGATGCTCCTACGACCAGTCAAGCTCCTGCTTCGAGCAGCAGATCTGGGGGCGTGGCAACCCCTGTTGTGATTGCTTCGAGTGTTGTTGGTGCTGTGGCGGTAATTGGCTTGCTGGGGTTCCTGCTTTGGTTCTGGCGGAAGAGGTTGCTGAAGAAGCGTCGGAGCACGCTTCTTACTCCGTTGTCCACGGATCCCAGCTTCAGGGAAAAGTCGTCATATGTCATTGACAGAGGATCTTTGGGCCCAACACCGCGCTCAGCCAAGCTCAAGGCCGCGCTTGGCTACAACTTTCAGAGATTCCGCGGCCAGTTCGGTGGATTGGTCTCACGCAACCGGGATAGCGGCTCGACAAATGACCGCGCTCAGTTTATGAATATCTCCCAGCACAGCCGAAACAGCTCATCTCTATCAAACCATGGTGGACCACGAGACGTCGTTACCACAAAGGATCGGGTCAAGGACTGGTGGGAACGGTTGACGGCGGATATGAAATTCAATTGGCGACTCCGCGGCGACAGGAATGTCGAAAAGGACCCATTCGCCTCAGCTCGCAACATGAGCGAGAGGAAAGCGGCCGCGCCAGGACAACCCGACTTCTTGACGCTTTTGGGTATGGACGACAGGGAGGTTGAACGGGAAGCTCAGAGGCGGCGAGTGAGCCGGAACCAAGGCAGCGCCGGCTCCGCCGATCACTTCCTCGGTGGCCTGGGACTGAACTTCGACAACGCTTCCGCCGACCCCTTTTCTGATAGCAACGCGTTACCTCATAACTCGGCCAAGCCGGCACCACTCGCCGTGGCCAACCCGGGCAATGGCAATGGCAACAATCCCTTCTCTGATGCCAATGCCATTTCGGCACCCGCGGCCGCGAGAAAGCCGTCATCAACGTATGTCGCTGACGTACGCCGGTCAAGAGGAACCTCTGTCGGCGGTACCACAACCAGGCCGCCAAGCGGCTCAACCTACTCTCCGCGCCTGGACTCCATGTACCGAGACTCGATGCAGAGCGTGGAGAGCTTCGCAACGAGGCGGAACAAGTTCCGATCTGATCCGTTTGATCTGGAAAGACCTGAGCTACTGGGCAGCAGTCTCGGTAGCAGTAGCGGTGGCCGGTTGACGCAGGCCAGCAGCAACTACAGCCAGGTCGGCGGAGGCGCACCGCGCGTACCCGGCAACGCTCACACGCGCGCGGACAGCTTCAGCTCAAAGTATAGCAGTGGCGTGAGCATGGACGGCTGGAGTGATCCAGGGCCAGATGTCGGGCCTTCAAGCGGACCTGGCTATCGCAACGAGGGCGCCGAGAGCCCGGTTGCAGGGTACCGGGCCGGAGAGCAGAAGAAGAATGTCGTGAGGAGGCCCAGTGGAGGAAGCCAGAACAGCGTTGGCAAGGCGTTGTAAGGGGAGGGGGATTTCTTTATCATGTATTACCAAAACACATCTTTCACTACTTGTACAAACGTTGGAGATGAGGAGGGTTGAGAGGGGTTGGGTAAACCACCATGTGAAGGGAACGATTTCACGCGATATGGGTAGGGGCATTTGAGGAACAGCCACGGCTGGTGATATGGTTGATATGGATATGAGAGAGATTGAGATGAGAGGGTATGATGAAGGATACCGCCCAAAAAATGAAGGGACCCTTTTATTTTCATTTGGGGACCGACTGTGGTGTATTTGGTGTTTTGGAGGAGACAGATCACAACACCCGTGTTCATGTCTTCTGAGCATCCTTTTTTTTCTTCTTTTTTCCTGTTCTCTTCCCTTCTCACGAAGCAAAAGTCAAAACTTCTTGGCCATGAGACACCCCATACTCATTCCCGGCTTCCCTGCCCAGCTTCTTATAAGCGGGTTGCGACGGCCGGGGGAGGAGCAGCACAAAGCCTGTTCCACTGTAATGGTTTTGTTAGATGAATCCTACAAAGTGAAAACTTACCCCGTTGAAATATGTCCGTATAAAACGGCCATCCGCAACATGATTTGCTGTGACATGACTGATTCCTGAATTGTTCGTTATCCTTCGAAATGTGGTAACAGTAAGGAATCAGCAATGCCTGCGTGTACTCTGTGCCCATTCCATCAAGTAATGCTAGGGTAAAACGACATGAATGGCTGCGACTTGTACGTAACCGGAGACGAGACCGGCCGTCCGGGCGCCCGGCCGGGGGTGGCCGGCAGGAAAAAGAAGCATGAATTTGGGATGCAAGTGGGCTTGTACGTACCGCCTTACCTTAGGTAATGGACCTATCTTACCTGTATTTAGGTAGGTAGTCTGAATATTACGGATACTGATAAGGAACAATTCGGTCCCGTGATGAACAGCTGGCATGAAGTGGCGCCGGCAGCTGCGCTGTTGGTCGCGAACCCCTGTCGAATCACACCACTTGCACTTCCCGTCCCGGGACATCTGTCATAGTTACGTACCTTGCCGTCTGAATGTCTGCCAGGTCAGGTAATACACAGCTAATGCGTGGTTGGTGTTGTGGGTGGTGCTGACACATGGCAAGAAAGCAGCCCAAGTCAAGGAACAAGACGTAAAAGCAACCTCGCTGTGCATTGGGTAGGATTAGTTGCGTACTCCCTTAGGTAGTCCAGAGAGGTCAAACACCTAATTACCCCTCATTCGGCGGCGACCACTCAGCCGTCGACAGCTTCCAACGACGTCAAGCCCCGGGGGCAAGCCAATGCACCGTGCCCGTACACACCACACCGAGGTAACTTGGGCGTTACGTCAAAGGGTCAGTCCACCGCTGTCTACCTACCTTGGGCACCTCAAGGTAAGGTAGGGAGCCTAGGCACAGCTCAAGGTACCCAAAGATAAAGATACCAGGAAAAGAAAAGATATTCACTGCCCGCCTTCTGTATAAGAAATTCAACCTCGAACTAGCGGCACTGGCCTAACTTAGTGATCGCGAAGTGACAGAATCTCTCGCTCCTCCCCGTTGCATCAGCATCCCAATAAACGACCCCATCACGCAACAAACAACAGACTGGAGACTTTCCTCCGACTCCTCGTCCCGTCCTGCTTACGGAAATTCCTATCCACAAATACTTCCATATATCTACAGATAGACCTCGGTGTGTAACCTACGGGCCAACCCCATACCTCTGCGGCGGGACTGATCCGAACTCACCACCGTTGGCCGAAAGCTAAAAGTTGCACCGGTGACAAGCCCCGTTGTCCAACGACCTAGCTTACTCTCGGATTACCCTACTCAACCTCCTTACCGGCCACTTTCTACTCGCCTTGCCTAATCAACACGACACCAAATCGAACAGCCCAAGCCATTCAGCCCATCTCCCTTTTTTCTTCTTTTTTGCTTACAAGCTGCCGCCCGTAATAAAACCACTGTCGTTTTCGTTCAGCACATACCCTTAGCTGGAAGGGAGAGAGAGGAACAGAGAGAGCGAGCACCACATTGCCCTCCGTTGCTCCCCCGCCGCCTCGACTACTCTTACATAGCGCACGTCTACTCGATGATAAGCCCTTGTCCGGCCACCGCAACCGACCTGTTCCCATATATGCCACGCTATCTTCTCCACGCCCACCCTTGAAAACCGGACCTAGCCACCCCACCACGTCCGACCACCCACTGCCGGTCTCGACATCATATGCTGGCTTGACCCGGACATCAAGACAGAGAGAGAGAAAGAGAGATGGCTTACCAGAGTCCTCCAGAAACACCATCCTCCTCCGGCGCCCACACGCCAACCCACTCTTCCTCTACAGCACCGTCATTATCGAATTCTGTCATCACAACAATGTGGTCCGGTCTGATACGCCGCTTCTCCTCCGACCTTCCAGAGTCCTACGGTCACAACGGGCACCCGCACGAGCCTTCACACCTCTCCCACGCGCAAACCGAGCCCGCCGGCGGCGGTGGAGGGGGCTTCCAGGATGGCATCAATGGTGTTTTTTTCCCTAGTCACCAACCCATTCGAACTGCGAGCCCGTTCCGTCCACCGCCTCTCGATCCCATTGTTCTGCACGGCTATAAGGAGAGCACTTCGCAGAGTGCCAGGCTCCTGAGTCACGGCGTGGCCGAGGAGATCCGGATCATGCTCCCAGAAAGGCTTAGGATCAAGGAGGATTGGAGGTTGATATACAGCTTGGAGCAGGACGGTGCTAGCTTGGCAACGCTATATCAAAAGGCAGCTGAATTCCAGGGCCGGCGAGTCGGTTTTGTTCTAGTCGTGAGGGACGACCTAGGCGGCGTAAGTGGAAACCTCTTTTTTGGCTGCTCTTCTCTTTGCCCGACATGTCACCGTAGTCGAAGGCCTCAATATTGCAATAAGCTAATCCTCTGCTCCTCCACGACCAGACTTTCGGCGCCTACCTCTCCGAATATCCACACCCCGCGTCCAAGTACTTTGGCAACGGCGAATGCTTCCTCTGGCGCGCCTCAACCCTCACGCCCCTCCCCCCGCCGCCCTCCGCCGATACGACGAACCTGACGCGCATCACCACGGTCGCCAGCCCGACACGCTCAACCTTTGGCGATCGCAACAACGCACCGTCGCCGGCGCCGAGCGAGTCAATCCGCTTCAAGGCGTTCCCCTACTCAGGCATCAACGACTACTACATCAACTGCGAGACGGGCTTCCTCAGCGTCGGCGCCGGCGACGGTCACTACGGCCTGTGGCTCGACGACAGCCTCGACCGCGGGCACAGCGGGCGCAGCCACACCTTTGGCAACGAGCCTCTGAGCGACGAGGGCGAAAAGTTTGGCGTGTTGGGCGTGGAGCTTTGGGTGCTTGGCGCCTGAAAGATGGACCCGGGTGATTACCAGAGACTAGAATCAGAAAGGAAACCTCAAGTTGGCGGAGATGAGGCCTGGCATGACGACCGAGAGGGTTGCCGGAACAACAGTACGCTCATGTACGCAGCACGGACACGGAGCACGCTCAGCAACCGCAGACTCTTGTGTTTCTCTGTGGAAGGGGAAAAGGATATGGAAATATATCACACGCAAAAAAGACAAATACACCGCACAGATATACGACTGGGACTGGGGATTGGAACTAGGCGTTGGAGCAATCGGGGCGTACAGGCGACGGGTTATTTGCAAAAAGAAACGGCCGACAGAGGTTTATGCGGCACTCCCTCCAATGGCAACACTGATGCCGCGAAAAGCTGCTTTTTCTGAGGACTGGATCGAGCCGATTAGGGGCGCGAGCGGAATCGTGAGTTCCATCGCTCCTTCCTCTCCTTCGGGAGGGGCTCCTTGGAGAGGCTGGGAACCTTGCGATCGATATTGGCTTGACAAGTCAACTCTCGCTTCGAGGGACACAATAGTGAGAGCGCTGACTGGACGGAGTGAGCTGGACTGGATTGTACGGGCAAACGAGGATTCAAGAAATTTTTAATTTTAACAATACCCCTTTGTCAAATCAAAGAATCAAATGTCTCTTTACACGTTCCGCCCCGAAGAATGTTGATTGTAACACCTCAGCTATTCTGACCCCGAAGCTCATCTTTCTTTGGAGCAGAATCTATCGAATCCTCCAATTAGCTGAAGTATAGAGTCTCCTGAAACTTGATACGTTGTTCGTTCGTTCTCTCTCTCTCTCTCTCTCTCTCTCTCTCTCTCTCTCTGTGTGTGTGTGTGTGTGTGTGTGTGTGTGTGTGTGTGTGTGTGTCGAGAGATTCCACGCATTGCCATTTCACATTTCTATATACGCACCTACACCTACGTTCCAGCTGATCATGAAAACCCACAACAACCCGGAAAATGGCAATCATCACATCATCATTGAAAGCAATTGGGCCCTCCCTGACGTATCGACAAAAGGAATACGGAAATGACTTCGCCAGTATACGAGTTACTTGAGAATTCCTTGACCAAGAATCCCTAACTCTCGTCCATCATCCAGGGCTCCCCTTCTCAATACTTGAGCCGACGACGATTTTGTATCACCCAACTCTATTCATCTCTGTCTATTGAAACGCTTAGCACAGGTCGGGCTTTTCTACCTACAATTCACGTTTATCACATAAATAAAGGTATAACAATTGCATAACTTGCTGTGGGGTTTCAATGTTGTCATTTCATTACAAGCTTGTATCAGTGACGCTGTCGACGATGAGCGGCTGGAGATCTCTTCACGGACGGGCTCATGAAAAGTCAAGTGGCCAAGTAAGGAACGGAAAAGAAGAGGAAATTAGACGAGAAAAGTATTTGCCTATCCATCATTCACTCGACTGATTCTAGTCGAAACTGACTCGCCTCACATATGTTCCTTTGTATCCCCCAATCACCACGGGCTGCACGGCCTTGACTCTCCTATCCGCCCCGTATGGTTTGTCTATAATCGTTTCCCCTACCCTCAGGCTCAGCAGCCACGCTGTGATTTTTCTCATTGTCGTCGTCCCGCAGGATCATGTCTCTCTGGCCCACATCATGCACCTGCTGTGGATCGCGTTTTCCTCTCTCGCTTGCTTCTGTTCTTGCTTGAAAATCCTGTGTCATTGCTCACCGCATGATCTCCTGGTAAATCAACTGCTTCAGTTGCTCCTTGCTCAGGTTGTCCTTGTGCTTGTCGAAGTCGAAGAACTCCTCGGGAATGGGAGGCGCAGTAGGCTCGTCATCTGGGTCGTGGTACGGTTCGAGGTAAGGGTGCTTAAGTGCGTCCTCTACGGTGATGCGCTTGACAGGGTTGAAAGCGAGGAGCTTCTCGAGGAGGTCGAGAGCCAGGTCGGACGTCTTGGGGAACAGGGTGCGGAAAGGAACCTTCTTCTTGAAGGGAAGCGAGCGAATGTACTCTCTCGCACGGCGGGACTTGATGCCATAGTAGTCCTCCATCGTCGGGGTACCAAGAACGTCCAAAATCAGAGTGAGCTGATGGTGGTCTGTCATGTACGTGATCAGCTTTGCATCTTTGATAGGGCGGGATGATAGTCCAACTTACAGTCCTTGCCCGGGAACAGAGGCTTGCCGCTCAGCATCTCGGCCAGAATACAGCCAACAGACCACACGTCAATGGCCTTGGTGTACTCCTTGAACGTCAACATGATCTCGGGAGCACGGTACCAACGGGTCGCCACGTATTCCGTCATGAAACCCGAATTGTCCTCCTGGGATGCAGCGGAACGCGCCAGACCAAAGTCACAGACTTTCAGATCGCAGTTGGCGTTCAGAAGCAAGTTGGAGGGCTTCAAGTCACGGTGAAGGACATTGGCTGAGTGCATAGCCTTGAGAGCGCGAAGGGTTTGGTAGATGAAGTATTGGCAGTGGTCGTCGGATAGGTCTTGGGTTCGAATAACACGGTGCATGTCCGTCTCCATAAGCTCCTGCAAAGGAAATCATGTCAGTAAATGGCCTGTTTCCATCGGTGTGGCACACGAGGACGTCTTGCTCACCTGGATGAGGTAAACCTCGTTGAATGTCTCATAGCTGCGGGGTTTCTGGATGTCGAGGATGGAGATGATGTTCTCATGGTTGAAGTATCTAAGAAGCTTCATCTCACGCAGAGTTCTCAGACAGAACATGGAGTGATCGAAGGGTGTGATCTTCTTAATGGCGACCTTCTGGCCGGAAGGCTTGTGTATCGCCGAGCTATAGAGTAATCAATTAGCAACCCGGTCTTTCTCGAACTGTGATTGAGACGAAAGATAACGCACCAGACAACTCCGTATGCACCCTCGCCGACGACATCCTGAATGTCATACTGCTCGCTGACGTTGAACGAGATCTTTCGGGAGCCCGAAGCGTTGGGGGGATTCGCGCGCGACATTGTGAGCGATGTGCGACGATGGTGTCGATGTGGAGAGGAAGTTGCCGGAGCAGTTGGCCGACGGAGTAATACCACACAGGCGGGTCCTCGCGAACGAGATGCAACCTTGGGCGGAGAAAAAAAAGGGGGGGGATGAGGGAGAGAATTAAGTCGTCCTAATAAGGCCGTCTTGTAGAACCACAATTGCTGGTTTGCGCGGTGGTTCAGGAAGGAGGCGAAAGGATTCCGGTATTTGGTTCTGCGGGGGTTATAATTATTGGCGGGCAGGCCGTTTGTGACTTGTCGAAAGGAAGGGTGGGATCGACCGACGGCGGCTGTCCAAAAAAAAAAAGATGGGCGTCGCAGACACACACACAAAGCTTGAGGTCGCAAAAACCGGCCGTACTTTGTTCTTTGGTTGGATTGGAAGAAAGAACACGCAACCAAGTCGGTCCAGTCAATGAACAGACAACAGGCGGATCGGCTGTAGAGTATCTCGAGAGGGGGGAAGGATGGGACAGAGAGATGCGGACGGGAGGGTGGAAGGGGACGAGTGTCGTCGGAGGTTCGAAAGTGGGCGAGGGCCGTGTTTCTTGGGTCCGCTCGGGCCTTGGGTGCTGGGTGAGGTCCGCTTGTCACAGGCCGGGATCGTGTTTGGATTTCTTGCCAACGTCTCGGATGTCGGTCACTTTTTTCGTTCTTTTTTCTTCTTCTTTTTTTCTGTCGTCTAGTACCCCAAAGTGGTTGTTGTTTGACGGGTGTGTGTATTGTGTGGTGTTTGCTCGATAGCAAAGATGTGTTTGAGGAAGGTACGGTAGGTAGGCAGGTAATTTGTCGTTTGAGGATGGGTTGCAGTGTGATGGCTTGCAAGTGTCCGGACTTGAGAGAGGACTGCTTTAGGCGGGAACTACAGGCTGAGAACTGGTGTTAGCTGAATCGTGTTAGCTGGAAGGAGCTCCAACGGGTCAAGTGACAAAACAGGCAGGTATCCCGGAATGCACAAGGTTAAGCAAGGTGAAGAGGCGCTGGGGAGGGGAGGGTCCTGAACCAGAATGGAACCAGCTGGGTCGTTGGTCGGGTACGGATAAAGGAGCGCTGGACCCAGGAACTGAACACAGGTACTAGCCAGGCTAGGTTTGCAGGACACAAAGCAGTGTTGATCAGCGCAGACGCAGAGCACCCAGAGAATAGAGGGAGCAACTACAGACAGGCAGACGTAGCGGGTGTCCGAACCTGTTCTCTTTGCCTTCTTCCGTGGCTTCTCGAAAAGCAATCGATCTTCCGGGACACTTTGGTGCGACAGCGTAGATGCAGCGCAGACAAGCTTCCAGAAGATGAGCGATAGCAAAGCGCGAAGCACAGAGGAAAAAGGGAGCCTGCGTGACTTGGAAGGTGAGGTGAGGGCAAGCGGGTTGCGGGTCGCGACGCAACGAAACGAGGCAAAAGGTAAGGGGAACGGGCGATGTACCGAGCACCCCCTGCGACTGCGACGGGACTTCAGACGAGATACGTCTAAGATGCGCAAACGAGGGACAAGACACCACGACGAAGGCGGGCCCGGGAGAGAACAACGCGGTCGAGCTTCACGAACTCCTGGACCGGGGCCGAGGGATATAGCTGCTGCCACTTGGGTGCGTCCTTCGCCTCTCTCTCTATCTGGCTCCGTGATTCTCGCTTGGAGTTGGCCTACCTAGATAGATGTGTCTGCCGGTATGATCTTCGGGGCGTGAGGGTGAAGGGGAAGCGAGGCGAACGAGACAGAAGGAGGGACGGCTAGGGAAAGTTGAATTGCGAGAGGGTAAGAAAGGCAGGGAACGGGCAATGAGGTCGCCGAGGATTACGGCGACGACGATCTCAGGGTGCCGGAGGGTTGACGGGGGATGGAATGCAAATACACAGGTCAAGACAGGAGGACAAAGACTCAAAGCAAAGTATACGTACCAGAGACTTGCGACGAAGCGAGAATATGCTAAGTGACTGTCGAGGAAGTATGGGGTTAGGTCAGGTCAGGTCGGTATGAGGTTGAGGTAAATTGACCCTCGATATTCTGGTGAATGAAGCCGAGGTGAAAGGAGGGGGCGGAGAGAGAGTGAGAGTGAGAGTGAGAGTGAGAGTAAGAGTGAAAGAAGGTGATGAGGCGGCTGTAAGGCTGGAGAAGGAGGAGGAGGAGGAGAAGGAAAAGTCGCAAACGTGCGATGGTCAAGCTAAGGGTAATAAGGTGAGGTGACGAGTGCAATGGGTACGCATTAGAGGTACTGTGGGAAGGTATCCGTAGGTAAAGGCAAGTTCAAAGGTAAGGTAAGGGTGAGAGTTGTGTGGACAAGGCCAGGTCAGATAATCTTACCCCGCTGCAGATTTGTCTTTGTAGAGATGTCACAGTGTCTTGTCTCTCGATGTGATGTGGTGGAGAGGCAGGCGGGCGTTTTAATGAGACCTTGGACGCTTATCCGTAGGGTAAGGTACTGGGTATGGCCTCCTTGTTTTTGTCTTGTCTTCCACCAACAGTACGGAGTAGAGGGAGACGGCAAAGTAGAGGCGTGATTTGTAGGTATTCCTGAGAGGTTGAGATACCTCAGAGAGCGAGACTGAGGGACCTGGGAATGGGATTGAGAAAGGCGGCGCAAGCGGAGGAGAGGGGGAGGGGGAGGGGGAGGGGGTCCAGAGGAGGGGGAGATAGCGGGACCTGGCCCTGGACTAGGTAGGTAGCTGGTGGTGTCGGTTGGTTTCTGAGGACAGCTAAGTACCCAAGGTAAGATACCTAATTGCAGGCCTAACAATGGGAGAAAGACAAAGTATCTTGTCTTGAGAGCCAACCAATTTCAAAGCACTCCAGGGCCGAGAACGTTTGCAAGCCGGGCTAGACAACATGCCTTAGCTTATTCCCTCAGGTACGAATTGGTGCTTAAGCAGATATCATATGGCCACAACGTGTGGTCAGGTATCGCGAACCACAGCTTGGCAAATCTGATGGATTGCGCAATAAGTAACAGACGGGAACACCGCAGTACTTGGTAACACCTGCTCTCGAGTCTCTCACACTTGGTACACCACTTATTTCCCGGTAGGGAGCACTACCACACAGTAGGTGCCTTACTCTGTGATGGAATCTGTGGACGCCAGAAGGGAGGTGCGTAGCGGCAGTCAAGTTCAGGGACAGAAGCAAGGCAAGTACTTCGTACTGCACACGGTGACGAGGTACCTGCTTATACCTGCATGTATGGATACCTGAGCTTGAGCCCACCAACGGAAGCCGATCCAGGTCAAGATACCTTGACTTGGAAACGTGCTTGCTTCAGGAAACTCCCAAACCCCCCAGGCAAGGGCCACTTAGAAGTTAGACCCAGCCCATCCATTATCGTGCCCGTCGTTTGAACCAGGGCCCAAGCAATGGGAAACACGCGACGCCGTTTCTGCAACTTAGGGGAACCGCATCCTGCCCTGTTCCTACTCGAGTACATACTACGGATACACTACCCAGTAATCAATATTTGTACCTTACCGCATAACGTTGTATCCATGGATACGCAAGTATCCCTCATTACTCTTCCTGGTTCCGCTCTGTGTAGGTAATCCTGATTCTTACGGAGTAGTCCTTGACAACCTTTTTACCACCTTAACCTTTGCCTCCATCAAGCATGCCAAACTACAAACACAATTGACGTCAGTGGACCTGTTCTAGCCGAATAACACAATGAATCAAGACGGCTGACTGATGGATGAATGATCTACCTCACGTACTCAAGGAACCCCAACCTGTTTCCATGTGCGACGGGAGAGGGAGCTCTAAAGACTCGCTATCAGGGCTATCCCAGCTTCACCGCCGAGCCAATTGCTGAGCAGACAAAAGAAAGAGAATAGCCAACATGGTACGTGACTGAGCCCGGGCACCAGATTCAAAATGGGCCATCACAATGAGAAGAGGGACAACCCTCGATCGATACGAAAAACATGAGACCGACGTCAATGTTTGACCAACAGGCACAGCCTACGCCACACCCATCCAAGTATCCATAGTCGCCCTTCCGCGTCTACACAACCGCGAGCGAAGGGGAGAACCAGACTGACTACCTATCCGCACCATAGACTTCCTCAACGACTACTAGGCCGCGTCCGTTCAGGGACTAATTAATCTCTGATTCAGATAAAGTCTAGGCAAGCTCCGCCCCTCCCGCCGACCCGTCAGCCCGAGAGCAATCAAAAACAATCCGAACTTGAACCTTCCATCACCGTAGCATCGAGCCAAAGGTCTCACGATGACCACAGAAGTGCCCCCTTGTGGATCCGTCCCAGTCTTTAGGAACCAGAATCAGTCAAAGTCCAGAACAAATCGAAGCATCAGATAGACGATGCCGTCACCCAGTCTCAAGTCAATGGAAGCAAACCGACTCGCCCTTTGAAAGCTTCGACAGCGGCTACGCATCAATGCTTCTTCCCTGCCAGCTTTCAGCCCACGTCGTCGCGGCCTTGAACGGTAATACTTTCCTCTGGTCTAGACTCCGGATCCTCTCCAGTCTCTCCATTCTTCTTCCCTGCCTCCCTGGGTGGGAACAGACGATCCACAACACGGCTGACGAGCTCAAGATCGGGATGGTGAACCATGCTGTTTGAGGTTTTTCTCCTAGCTTGATGAGATCTTCCAAGTTCTGGAAAGCCAATGTATCTTCTGCTCGTGGCGGTACCAGCTAAGCAACATACGGGGAAAGGGGACTTGGGACGGCGCTAGCGGAACGAGCTTGATACATGCATATCCCCGGTATTCCACCCTTCTTGCTAGGGGCACAGGTTCCTTTTCGATGGGCCAGGGGGAACTCCTGCTCACACTATAGAGGGTCACTATCCATAAGATACGAGTACCCACGGAGGGTTCACATAGCTAATAAGGTACTTCGCCGAGCTGCCGGAGCGTCAGTCAAAAGGCCTGCCGCATTGTTACTCACCTCGCTCTTTGCACCACCACCACCACCACCACCACCACCACCACCTCTTCCAACAAAAGTTCAACATTCAACAAAGCCAGCTGGGCACAATCCAACTCGTTCAAGTGACAGGCGTGCTAATTATATCAGTAACTAATGTGATGGGAGAAATGCCAAAATCGACTTCTGGACAGTCAATTGGCCAGCACGTCTGCAAGCCATGGCACACGTACAGCCGGCGCCTAGCACCGCCGGCCATTGGCTCCCGAGCCGGCCCCCTCTGTACCCTCGGCGCGTGTGTTTCACCTCTTACTGGTGCCAGTTTCACACAAGCCCACCCAATCAATCAGCCCGTAGCTGAGGTGCCAGATTTCACCTTTTCCCTGCTGCCCCTCATCCTAATTCCCATACCCGCCGCCGAAGGAGAGTACAGGACGGTTGGGGCGGTTGCGATACAAGCAGCCCGGCCTAGACTATCCCCCCATTTCTCGGTTTGGGCGGGTATTGCTCAGTCCCTTCTCTCTCTCAGGCACTCTGTAAGTGCAGCATAGATGGTCATATTGGGACTTACGGCGGCTGTCATCACCCCATTCGTGTGGTAGAACCGCTGGGCATCCCAACTGACTGCGCCTACCTACGCCTAGCACCAACAACCAAGTACGACACAAACCAACCCCACAAGCCTCTCGACGTCCCGAGACAAGCTCATTTCCCCAAAGACCAAAGGTTCCGAGAGACTAGTCAACTCTCCTACGAGCTACCACTCTACACACAAGGCTCCCCATCAACGTCTCTCAGTCACGAGTCACGAGTCACTGGCGTCGTCTATTACCGGAACCACATACCGGAGCTATCCACATTTGTACTCGTCCATCGTCTGCCCGATCACATGCAGATGTCCAGGTTGTGGCGTGTAAGACTCATTCGGCCAATATTCTTTTGCGTATTGATCTCTAGTTTTGATAGAGACAATGGTCTAAATAAACCTAGTTACCACATGCTACCACCTTTCCACTTGCAATTGTCCCCTTAGTACCGCTTCTCCAATCATGTAACAACCTACGTCGTCTTGTTAGCAATACCATCCTGACAGCAAACTGCCACTTTACGGTGGGTTAAGTGAGGGGTGGGGAAAGAGCAGAAACTTACCTTTTCTCTAAGAATACCAAGCCACTGTGCCGCGCTCATGCCCTGGTCCGCTCTGTCCTCCACGAGTAGTGTCTGCGCCCACAACTTAAGGCTCGGCTCTCCGTCTTCTCGGACAATGTAGAGATGGGGCAAGATGATGCTGCCGACTCCCTTGGACTTGTGGTCCCGGCTCTTGTGAACGACTGCCCGTACCCGCTCGTTGAAATCGTTATCCAGCTCCGGAAGAGCACCCTTGCCCACCCGCAGCTGGGTCCTGTCCTCAACCCCGAACACGTCGGCCAACAGCTGCGGCACGGCATCCCGGCCAGCCCAGAGGAACTGCGTTTGGCCGTCGTCGATGAGGTACAGACCGTACGGAGCAAATCTTTCTGACGAGAGATTCGCCGGCGGCGGGAGCACAATTTGGCTCGTCTCCGAGTCAGGCACACCTGCGTTGTCGGGCATGTCGTGCAACGAGTAGAGACGGGGGTAGATGTATTGCATGAGGAGAGGGACGGGAAGCGTCGAAAGCAGACAGAGGGCTGCCGATCGCAAGTCTGACGGGATTTGAGCCGACTTGCGGAGGCCGACATTCTTCATGAGACCCAAGAAGAGGATGGGGAGGCCGCGCAGGTTAGAAGGGAACTGTAGCCCGCCGCCCATGCTGCCGCCGGCGAGCTCCTTTCTGAAGGTTTGCAAGAGCTCAATCAACTTGTTCTGGAGAGAGTCGCGGGCAGCTTCCAAACCGCCGCTCAAAGCACGCTCGACTGCCTTGTGACTGAAGTAGGTGGTAATTGCCTGCTGATCAGCCGAAGCATAGATATCGGCGAGGTTTGTGGTCGTCGGGAGAGCCAACGTCATGACGCGGATGCGACGCTCTCCATTGCAGGTTGTGTGGAGAACGGCAGTCTGCAAGCACACCACGTTCTTCGTGAGGTTCTCGTCAATGGCAACCTCAACGACGTAGCATTGATCGCGAGGGAAGGCGGGGAAGGCGCAAAGATCAGAGCTTCTGTTGAAGAAGTTACCATAGAAGGCGTTCATACGCAGGCCAGTGGTGGCACGAACACGGAGCACTGCTTCCAGTCCGATCTCTGATGACAAGTAGTCACTGAACTCGGAGGCAAACTTGATGGCGTCTTCCGGACGGCCAGCGTTCCAGCCCGGATAAAACCAAGTCTGTCCACCAGTGTACCTGGGCAAGTTGCTCAGAGAGGCAACATCCTGGTATTGCGAGGAGAACAGGAACATGTCGATGGAGACCTGGTTCTTTGAGCATTCTACAGCAAAGCTCTTGTAGAAACTGTTGGCAGTTTGAAGCAGACTGCTTTCCTTGCTTGTACCCAGCAACTTCTTGTCTTCGCGCATGTCCAGCTTACCAACGCCAACATTGGGCAGCGAAGCGCTGAGCACCACGATCTTTCCGCCGAGAGCCGAAATCAGCTTGTGGCCAGCTCGAAGGGCCGAGCCCATGGCAGATCCGTTGTTCTGGTTGCTCTGGTACATTTCGGGCAGCTTGGTCAGGAAGCTCTCAATGCTCTGGCGGCTTTCCGTCAAGGGCACCAAAAGGTCTTGAGGCACCGGCAGGAATGGCTCGTCCAAGTCGCTGACGACTAACATGCTGGTCTCCGTATTCTCTTCCCCATCCTTGGGGACTGAGAAGTAGTGCAGGCTGGAGTCTACGGCAATGAAACCCAGGCGAGTTCGGCGATCGGCATTAGGTATTCTGTCGAGGCTATCCAGGATGGTTCGGGCACTGGTTGCGAGGAGACCGGTTGAAACAGCAGCATAGCTCACGTCGAAGAGGAATAGGTAAACCAGCGGCTGAGGCGGGCGCACCATGTACTCCTGAGGCGCGACAAACTCGACAACGGAATAGTTGAGCTCGTAGCGTCCCCAGCGATCAGTGCTCCGTTGCGAAGCAGCATCCCAGTCGAAAGCTTGAGGAACATCGTTCGTCAGGTTGCACATGTTACAACGCCAACGGTGTCCATGGTCCAGGAAGGTAACAAAAGGGTTGATGTATGTTCTGCAGCGTCGGCAACGCGCGATGACCTGGTCCTGCACCACGGGAATTGGGTCCTCACTATCGTGGAGAGCTCCATAAGGCTGGATAACGAGCGCAAAAGGTAACCTCGACTTCTTCAGAAGGGAGTGTGTTGTCGGGACGGCGTTGAGGGTGGAGCGCACGTATTTAGGACCGCAGTTCGCATCTGGGGAGGGAGTTACGCTAGTCTAGAGGTCTAGTTGTCAGAATAGAGCTCCAGGACTACAAGCATGAGTGGTGACGTACGTTGGGAGGAAGAATAATGGGAGGAGGGGGCAAGTCTAGCTCGGACACGTTGAACGGCTGATTCATCAAGTCGGTAGGGTAGAGCTGGTTCAGAGCCACGGGACGAGCAGCCTGGCCAGGAGGAGGTTGCTGCTGGGCTTGTTGGCCGCCGAGGTTCATACCGGCCATCTGCTGGTTGAGGCCGCCGACGCCGGGAGCAGCAGGGGCAAGGCCGGACGCAGGATATCCGGCATCGGGGGCCGCATACGCGCCGTAGCCTCCGGGTTGAGCAGCAGGAGGCTGGGGCATGCCGTACTGCTGGGGTTGAGGCGAGCCATAGGCGGCGGCAGCAGGCTGAGCATCCTGTGCGGGATAGCCACCATAAGCCGCGGCCTGGGGCTGGGGCATGCCATATTGTTGTCCTTGAGCAGGTGCGCCGGCCGTGTTGGAGTTGGCGCCAGCTCCGAACTCATAAGCTTGGGTGGCATAGCCTCTCTTCTTCTTCTTGCCTTGGTCGGCTATAGCTGGCTGGGCAGCTTGAGCTCCCTGTGCATCGTAGCCGTCCTGGGGCTGGTCGGAGTAAGGTTGTTGCTGCGGGGGATATTGGCCGTAGCCGTCGTTCGGCGCCGACATGGTGGGCGGTCGGGGCAAGGACGAGGTTGCGCTCGATAGTCTTTGGGTGGGCTAGGATCCAAGCTGTGGCTTTGCGATGGATGGGAAAGATTGATGTTGGGAATGCGATTTGGTCGAGTGTGTGGCCAATGCCGGCTTTTTGGATGTACGCAACAGGTGGCGTGGCGTTAGGTAGCGAGGGGTTCAAGGACAGCAAATGTTGGTCAATGGAAATGTGTCCACATGAACTAGATGACGAAGGGTGTTGGAGATACGTCAAGGCGAGGCTACCTTGAGCTAGATACCCGAGCCGCGCTGCGATTGAGAAAGGGAGGGCAAAGTTACAGTAAACAGCCTCGGGCAGAGTCGAATGGACAGGTGGTTCAACCCACTGAATCCAGCTCCAAGTCGACTAGGTATGCACCACTATCGCAAGCAAGGGCTTAACTGGCAGGCTTAGCTGGAGTGTGTGAGTGTCCCATCATGGCAGCGGTCAAGGACATGTGGCGGGGAACTTCAGTGCACAGGCCAAGTGAGGCTGAGGCAGACGGAGCGCGGAATAATGGTCAGCCCGGAGATGGCCCCGCGCCGGACCCCGTTCGGCAGATTCCCGGCAAAGGCCACACTTACACAGTCAGGTGCCGCGTACCTTATTGTGCAGGTCCTGTGAGGCATCCCACCAAAGAGCAAAACTTTCGGGCATGCGTAACGTAAACCTTTTTTTACGTCTTCTCATTTATGATAACGAACGTCGTGGGGCAGATACGCATCTAGCGAGGCACAATGCTCCCCTTAGCAGCGTCTCAGTTCCACGCAAGTGACTGGGGACCTCCTTAAGGTACAAAGCAGACACTTGGGAGCAGACACTTGGGAGCAGACACTTGGGAATGGGGACAGAAAGACTTTGACTGGACCAGGATGTGGGGTGTGATGCATTGTCATGTTCTCCAAGAACGAGCTCTACCTAGTATGAAAAGATTCGGCAGCATGAGCTTGACAATGTTTCGAAGCTGGCAGTATCTAGCCCTCGAACTACACAGCCAGAATTTTATGAGCCTTTACATGCAGTCGACTTACTGGGAATCATAAACTCATTACAGGCACTAATAGACAATCTCGTCAAGTTACCATGAACAAAGTCAGGGTGTGCGCTCGATGCTCTCCCACGGCCATCACTAAGCAAAAAGGAGACGGAAACGTTTGAAAGGGGGGGGGGGGGGGGCCGCGGCCGCGAACTACGGAGTACG